ACACTTATCCCCTCACCACCCTCCCCTCACACACTCATCTCCTCACTGCTCTCTCCTCAAACACACTCATCCCCTCACCGCCCTCTCACCTCACACTCATCTCCTCACACACACTCACCCCTCACCGCCCGCCCTCACACACGCTCATCTCTCACTGCATTTTCTTCTCACACCGTGGATCTCCACCTTCCTAAATCCCGCTTCCCCACACACTGGAAGCAGGCATCTACCTGGGAACATTTACACTCTTTGTTCACTCTGCCCCCCCTCCCCCGGTCAGGGTTGTACCCATTGACTACAGTTGTTTTTCTCAATGTCATGGTCAAACGTCATGTCGGACAGACGGGTCTCACCCCGCTGGTGACTCTCTCCTCCCACACCACCCTCCTCTCTGTTGGCAGCCTCTCCGGCTGCTTCTGAGCAGAGGCGGGCAGGGCAGAGTCCCGGCCTCACCACACACCTGCATGGCCACAGCCCCTCCAGACGCCACAGAGGCGCCGCACCAGCACCGAACCTCCCAGACACTTACGCTTTCAGCACACTCATGTGGTAGGTGACAGACAGGCTAATGGAGGTTCTCTTCTCTTCCTTTAACTGGAGCTTGTCCACTAACTCGTGCTGCACCTGCCATCAAATGGAACCGAATTATTAATGATTTAAACAGATAATTAAGTAGAGATCCAGATATTCATTATTATTTTACAAAAATTCCTCCTTTAAAACTATTATTTGTCATGAGTAAGTGTCTTCTCTAACTGTGCTTCATATTCAGTTTTCACAGATAACGGAAGCCAGCTTTCCACCCACACAAGTTAGTGCAAGATGACGCTCCTCATGTAGGTTACTGGGCTTTACGACGACTTTATCACAATAAATTTCCTGCTAACCTTTCTAATTCAAGATGCTACCAGTGAAGTGTTCAAAGACCACAACGAAAGAAAAAGCTTTTGTTTTACTGACCTACGCGTGCTGTACCTCTGTGAGGATTTGGCTGTTTTTCTACACGTTTTTCTATAAACGACACTTACGAAAACTCCTTCTTCTGTCTGCGCTTCCCCACAGGCCGGCTTACCATGACGGAAAACATGTGTCGGTATTTCTGGGGCACGTTAGCTTTTATGAAGGGCGCCGCGGCTGAACAACACCGCGCGGCCTCCTCCCTTCTTCCGGCTTGCAGATGGCACTCCAGGAGCTCCCTGGGCAATGTCAAAATACTGGATATCAAAACACGGCAAAATCGTTTTCTGCTGCAAACATCTGATAAGCAGGTTGTATGCATTTCTGTTAAAAGCTCCCCAAAGAGCCATAAAGCAGGTGACAGAAGCCTATAGATTCTGGATTGCAGCGTCAGGGCAGGCCCTCGGCTCGTCCTTGCGGACCCCCACCGGCCGCTGCCTGCACACGGCACTCTGCAAACACAGGGCGAGTCTGGCCACTTGTCGCTCCCCCCCGCACAAGGACCACGTGCTGACACCTCTCCCTATGGCTCCTCAGGGCCGTCCCTATGGTGACGCATTGGCACGTGCTTCCCTAAATCAGGCCATTCTGGCTGAGTTTTACGTTGCTGAAATGTCTATTGTGTTAACAGTTACGGAACTAGGTGTTTAGAACCACGAGCCAAGACTGTGACACAAGCTTTCGTTTCCTATGTTTTGAGTCTGAACATTCATCTGGCGACACCCGCGTGATCAGGACCCGCGATTTCGTCTCCAGATAGCATCGGACAGGCACACAGGACGCGTAACTCTAACTACGGAGCCCAGAGCAAAGCCACACACCCCGTGGCGTAAGTCCCAGCAGGGGAAGGCGGGAGGGGACGGAGGCCAGAGACTGCCCAGGGCGCCTGGGGAGGGACTCGGGGCCGGGCGGGCCGCTTCCACTCACAGCAGCAGCTCTGCCCGCCACTCCTTGTCTTCCTCCTCGGTTTGGTTTAACACGTGTACGATTTGGGAGAGGCTGGGGATCAGGTGGTGACGATACCCCGGCTTGAGGAACGGCCTCACCATTTGCCAGTAGAGGACGGACGCGTTATATACCAAGAAGAGATACCTGCGGCGCGAGAAGAGGGAGCCTGAGAGGAGGCCACAAGGCTGTCCCCAGCCCCTCCGGGCGTCTCCAGTAGATGGCAGCACCACCCGAGCCGCCCGGGCCCACACTGCCGGGGGAGCGGAGCCCCCCGCCTGGAAGGGGCCCGTGGCTCCGGTATAGCCCGGGCCACGATGACCCCGCCACATGACTCCTGGGTCCAGAGATCCCTTCGGTCATTCAGTCAGTCCGAGAGTGGTCAGATCCCTGTGAAAACACACCAGTCGGCGAGGTCTCCTTTGGTTCCCAAGGGATAGACAAGACCCGGCAAGTGCAGGGGGAACCAAGGAAGGCCTCCCGGAGGAAGTTACATCCTGCTGAGACCTGACATGTGATGAGTGATCAGCCAGGAGAGCAGTGCAGGCGCAGGGTCGGGCAGGCAGAAGAAGGAGGGCAAATCTTTGGGGAACAAAGTCCCCAAGCCTGTGCATGAAGAGCCAAGTGGGGGAGGAGGAGGGGAGCAGGGACAGCCCCCGGGAGCTGGGCCTTTTCCTGAGGGCTGGAAACAGCCACCCACGAAGAGAATCACAGGGGCCCATCTGCCTTTCTCACTCCGGGCGCCCGGTGGTCCACACTGCTCCCCTGACGGACGAGCACTGCGAATGCCCACTCTCACCCAGGACGCAGGAAGGGCCCAGGGCACAGCAGCAAATCGAGGCTGTTTGCCCCTTCAAGGGGCTAACTCAGAGCCCCCTCGTCCTCTGCCAAGCTGCACCCACGTCTATTTCTAGAGATGGTCCTGACGGCCGCCAAGGGTGCAGGAGCCCCCAAGATCCGCGGAGCTCAGGCTGCCCGCCCTCCCGCTTCACGGTGTCAGGACACGGTCCCCTTGAAATACCAGTCTCCTTAGAACACGTGCCCCGTCGCCCGGGTGGCTTAGTCGGTTAAGCGTCCGACTTTCGCTCGGGTCATGATCTCACGGTTCGTGGGTTCGGGCCCTGCGTCGGGCTCTGTGCTGACTGCCAGCTCAGAGCCTGGAGCCTGTTTCAGAGTCTGTGACTCCCTCTCTCTCTGACCCTCCCCTGCTCACGC